CACCACCCACACACAATTAATACACTCTGACTTTTGTCGTTATCTTCTCCCATATCTCTCTATTCTTTTTTTCCTTCCTTTATTATTGTGATTCCTAAACATAAAAAATACACTCTAAAAAAAAAGTAAAAATAATTAATTTGTTATCCGTCTCTAGACTCTCAAAACGGATGTACGGTCACGTTCATAACGCGCTATATCGCACACATTATCTTTATCGACGTGACGTTGGAGAGGCGGGAAATTAGCTACCGTCACGTGGCCGTCACGTCAGCGTCAGACGAAGGTCACGTAAAGGTCAAGTGAAGGTCACACTTTGCTGACCTGGGAGGTGCAGGAGGTCACGTCTGATTTTTGCTACGAGATGTGAGGAATGGAATGTGATGAATTAATATTGTTTGAGTGGAAAACTTGTGTGGGCGGTCTGTTCTTTCCCTGTCTGTATGTCTGTCTGTGTGGGTGGTTGGCAGGTGCTGTGGTGTGGTTTGCTTCTTCTTTCCTATCAAACATCTGTCGTCTTTATCTCCCTTCCTTCTATTTTATGTTTGTTACTCTCTTGTAACACTTCTAATCTTGCAAGTGTTGCCAGTGCCGTAAAATTCTAACGAAAACTAATTATCTTTTGTTTTTTGCTTGTTTGTTTCTTTGTCTTTTGACTCTTGTCAGTCTATCTGTCAGTCTATCTGTCTGTCTATTTGCTAGTCTGTTGTTTATAAGCTCTCTGTCTGTTTCCTTGTCTGTTATTTATTGTCTGTCTGTCTGTTTTTCTGTCTGTCTGTCTGTTTGCTTGTCTATTGTTTATTATTTGTCTGTCTGTCTGTCTGTTTGTCTCTTTCATTGTCTTTTGTCTATTATCTTTCTGTCTGTCTGTCTGTTTTTCTGTCTGTCTGTCTGTTTGCTTGTCTATTTTTTATTATATGTGTGTCTGTCTATCTGTTTGTTTGCTTGTATTTTGTTTATTATCTGTCTGTCGGTCTGTTTTCTTGACTTTTGTTTATTTTCTGTCTGTCTGTCTGTCTGTCTGTCTTTCCGTCTGTCTGTTTGATTGTCTTTTGTTTATTATTTGTCTTTGTCTGTTTGCTTCTCTTTTTTATTTTCTGTGTCTGTCTGTCAGTTTGTTTCCTTGTGTTTTTGTTTATCATCTTTCTGCCTGTCTATGTCCTTGTCTATAGCTTATTGTCTGCATGTCTGCCTGTCTTGTCTGATTTTGTTCCGACATGTGGTTTGATTTGTTTGAAGGAAGGAACTAATTGTTTTGGAGGTCTGCTGTCTCTCTATTTGTATGTTTGTTTATATTTTGTATGTATGCCATGTCTGTCTATTTGTCTGTCTGTCTGTCTGTTAGTCTGTGCGTCTCTCTGTCTGTCTGTTTATTTGTTTATTTGATCTGTCTGGGGGAGGGGGGGGGGGGA